AACAAAACAGAACTGGGCCTCGGAGCCACGCTCTCCCTTCTGAACCGGCGTCTGGGTTCTCAGTGGGGCTGTCTCTCGGGCCCAGGAGCGTGGCCAGGGCAGCCCAGGGCAGCGGCTTCAGAGACCCCAGCGGCTCCTGCAGCGGAGGGGCGCGAAGATGGATGTCCAGGCCCAGCCACTCTGCAGCCCTGGAGTTAGGGGCCAGACACATGCAGGAGGCGCGGCTGCGCCCTCCCCAGGGGGGCTTCTGGCGAGGACACGGAGCCCAGGCAGGCAGGGACCAAAGGGTCACTTTGTCCAGTTCCGGCCTTCACACAGCAGCCTGGGGGAGGAAATGCTGACCCCCTGGGTCCCTGAGGGGCGAGACAGACAGCCCCCTGCTCAAAAGGAGAGTCCGGTCACACCGAGGCCGGAACAGATTCAGGAGGAAGTGAGTGTCCAGCAGTGAGGTCAGTGAGGTCAGTGTCCAGCAGTGAGGTCAGTGAGGTCAGTGTCCAGCAGGGAGGTCAGTGAGGTCAGTGTCCAGCAGTGAGGTCAGTGAGGTCAGTGTCCAGCAGTGAGGTCAGTGAGGTCAGTGTCCAGCAGTGAGGTCAGTGAGGTCAGTGTCCAGCAGGGAGGTCAGTGAGGTCAGTGTCCAGCAGTGAGGTCAGTGAGGTCAGTGTCCAGCAGTGAGGTCAGTGAGGTCAGTGTCCAGCAGGGAGGTCAGTGAGGTCAGTGTCCAGCAGGGAGGTCAGTGAGGTCAGTGTCCAGCAGGGAGGTCAGTGAGGTCAGTGTTCAGCAGGGAGGTCAGTGAGGTCAGTGTCCAGCAGGGAGGTCAGTGAGGTCAGTGTCCAGCAGGGAGGTCAGTGAGGTCAGTGTCCAGCAGGGAGGTCAGTGAGGTCAGTGTCCAGCAGGGAGGTCAGTGAGGTCAGTGTCCAGCAGGGAGGTCAGTGAGGTCAGTGTCCAGCAGGGAGGTCAGTGAGGTCAGTGTCCAGCAGGGAGGTCAGTGAGGTCAGTGTCCAGCAGGGAGGTCAGTGAGGTCAGTGTCCAGCAGGGAGGTCGGTGTCCCGCAGGCCCGCTGGACAGAGGGGGCGGTCTGGCTGTCTGTCTGGGGCAGGCTGGGCTGCCTCTCTGAGCTAGTTCGCTCATCTGTAAACCAGGCCTCACAGTGACTTCCTGGAACTCTCCAGAGGATTAAAAGAGGTTATATCCAGAGACATAAAGAGAAAGGGGACGCTTCTCTCCCCCACCACCCCAAAATGACCAGGGAAGGCTCCCACAGCCCCAGAGCCCTGTGCTCCGGGCCTGGAGGAGCGGCTGGGTGGTGGGCACTCGCTTGGTGCCAGATGCCAAACATGCGTATTCTTATTTAATCTTCAAATTAGGAGGTACTACCCCCCCCCCCCTTTTTTTAGGGAGACACAGCGCTGAGTCTTCTCTCGGGCTGTCTGAGTGGGGCCGTGGGTGGAGATTGGGAAAGGGTGTGGGCTTGGGAGAGACGCAGGCCAGTCTGGGGCCAGTTGTGGGCAGGCACTGCACTGGGCACGGGCTCCAGGGGTGACAGACAGATTGGGAGGTGGGGGGGGGGGGGGCAGGAAAGGGGAGGACAAGCCGGGAAGCAGACTCAGTTCCCAAACACGGACCTGTTTGCCAGCGCAGTGCCGCTCAGGGAAGGCTCCTGTGCGGGTGCAGAACGGAGGGTGGAGGAGGGTGACCGTCAGGGGGGCAGGGAAGGTCTGAAGGGCGAGTAGGAGCCAGGGGGCGGGTCAGGCTGGGAGACAGAAGATTTGGGTGGAACAAGTTCAGACCCCGGGAGGGGAGTGTGAGGGGAGAACCACTGGGGGCTGAAGAGGGGTGAGCGGGGGGTTCGGACTCAGTGCAGGTGTGCGGTGCCCTCCGCGTGGCCGTGGGCAGGGCAGGGCCTGGGGCGGGGCAGGGCCTGGGGCGGGGCAGGGCCTGGGGCAGGGCAGGGCCTGGGGCAGGGCAGGGCCTGGGGCGGGGCAGGGCCTGGGGCAGGGCAGGGCCTGGGGCAGGGCGGGCACGGGGAGGTGGCTAATCCCACAGAGGAGCGGGCCCAGGGCTCGGTGAAGCCACGGAAGGGGGAGGGAGGGGGGTAAGGAGGCAGCGGCCTTGGGGGGCGGTGGGGGGGGGGGATGGAGGAGCAGGAACGAGCCAGGTCAGTGGGAGCTCAGGCTGACCGCGAGGCGGGCTCTGGTTCCAAGATGGAGGGGCCCCGACATGGGAGCGGGGGGGGGGGGGGGGGGGAGCAGCGGGAAGAGCAAGTAGGCGCCAGGGCAGGAGGAGGGCCGGGCCGGGTGTGCGGGCCGGGTGTGCGGGGCGATGCGGGTCTCGGGGAGCAGGGGGCGCCGGGCGGAGGGGGCGGGGGGAGGTCCGGGCGCGGAGCGGGGCGCTGTCCGTGCGGCTCTCAGATCGCGGGGGTGGGCAGCCCGGCCCCCACTGTGGCCTCCTCCGGGCGCCCCCGGGTGCGGGGCTGGGGAGGGAGGGGCGATGCGGTGCCCAGGCTCCTCCATCCGGCCCGAGACAGGAGCCCGGGTTCGAGGCCAGCCCTGCGGTGGCTGCGGGCCCACCGGGCCTTCCTCCCGCCCCCGGCGCGCAGCCGGCTCTCATTACCGCCCCCTCCCCCTCCCCCGCTCCGGGCCCGGGTCCGGGGCGGCCGCGCTAATCAATCCCAGGCCGGAAACTCCTCCCGGGGGGCCTCCCCGGCCCGCCCCCCGCATCATGGAAACTGGGCCGCCGGCCCACCCCGCGCTCCCACCCCGGCCTCCGGGCGGGCGGGGCCGGGAGCGGGCGGCCTCCAGGCCGGTTCGCGGGGCTCCGCGGCCCCGTGCCCCCTCGGCTCTGGGACAAGCACCCCCACCCCAGATGGGACGCATCTTAGGGAGTTAGGGCGCCCGGGTCACCCCGTTACCGCCCCCCGCCGGGAGCGCCGCAGGGGCATCCGGGCTGCGCCCCGCGGAGGACGCGGAGCGGACACGCGCGCCCATTTCACCGGTGAGGACGGCGCGGTGCGGGGCAGAGGCCGCCTCCTCCAGGCAGCCCCCCGGGGCGCCCCACGCGTCCTCTCCCGGCGCCGGGACCGGGGGGCTCCGGGCGGCGGGCTCCCAGCGCCGGGCTCGGGCCCCCGGAGGGCGGAGGGCGCCCCTGGGGCCTCTGCGAGCGGCCCCGGGCTTACCTGCACCCGGACCTGCGCGGGGTCCCTCGCGGCGGGGCCGACGGTCCCGCGGGCTCGGGGGCGGGGCCGGCGCGGGGCGGGGCGGGGCGGGGCCCACATTCCGGGGAGACGCGGCAGTGCCCGGCCCCGGCGCGCGGACTCGGACCCGGACCCGGACCGGACCCACCCCGGTGCGGCGGCGCCAGGTGAGCAGAACCAGGGTCCCGGGGTCCGTCCCCCACTTTCCCCAACTTTCCGTTGGGCCGGCGCTCCGGAGGGCCGGGGGAGGAGGGGGGCCGGAGTGTGGGCGGAGGCGGAGCGGGTGCGGAGCCCGCGAACTTCCCGCCCGGACCTTCCCGCGTCCGCGCCCCGGCCTCTGAGCTCCCCGCGCGCCCCGCCCCCGAGCCGCGGCCCGGGCCTGGGGTGCCCGTCCCCTGGCGCTCCGATCCCCCCGCGGGCGCGGAGACCCTCCCGAGTTGGGGTGCCCTGGGCGGGGGTCGCTCGGACTGAGAGGGCCTCCGGCTCCTGCACCAGCGGGGCCGGGCCTCCCGCCGCCGGGCGCCGGGGTGGCTCCGCGGGGCCGGGCCTGGAGCCCCGGGCGGCGTGCCGGTCCCCTCGGCCCAGCGGCTTCAGTGAGAACCGCGCTGCGGACGCGCAGAGCTGCCCTCGGGGCCGGGCCCGGACTTAGAGTTCCGCTTCGGGGGCGGGAGGGGCGTCCTGCTCGGAGCTTGGGGTGCGGATGGGGAGCGGGCGGGGTGGCCGGCCTCCTCCCCGGGGCCTCGGGGCGGGTTAGAGACCAGATCGGGGCTGTGAGGACGCCCCACCGGACCGCGAGGTCCCACCCTCCCCTCCTGCGGTCCCGGGGCGCCCGGGCGGGGTCCCCCTTTCTTCCCTCCCGTGGGGGCCATGCCACACGCAGCCCGCGGCTCCTGCCCCTCCAGCCCGGATCCAGCCCCCGGGCCGGGCCGGCAGCGGGAGGGGCTCAGCCGGCGGCCGGACCCGGGGCGGCCCGAGGCGCCGGGGCGGCGCTGCACCGTCCGGGACGCGGGCCACGGAGCCTGGGGCGGAGGAGGCGGAAAGGAGGCCAGGCGGCGGGAAAGGGGGTGATTCATCCGGAGGAGCCCGAATTGGAAACGCTGCAGCCTGGGACCAGCCTGGTCCGGGCCGAGGGGAGCGCCGGGAGGGAGCCCCGGCCCAGAGAGCCCCGGACCGAGCCGAGCCCGGCCCGCAGCCCGGCCGCGGGGAAGGCAGCCTCTGCGCGGACCCGGAGATGCCGGGCCGGGCAGCGCCGGTGGAGGGGAGCGCGTCCTCCCGAGTCTCGCTCCAGTCTCTCCTGCTGCAGCGCCCCGGCTGGCCGCGGTCCGGGGCGTGGGGGGAGGCAGGAGGAGCTGGAGTCGGCGCCCCCTCCCTGCGCTGCGGTTTGTGGAGCGCAGTGTGGGGAAGCGGGGCCCGCGGCCCCGGGCGGCGCCCCCGCCCCCGCCTAACTCCGGAGCAGCCACCTGCGGGGCTGAGGTCCGCCGGCGGGACTGGCCCTGGAGACGCCGCGGCCGGGCTCCCACCCTCCGGAGCCGGGCCCGCGGGCGGGCGGAGAGGGGTCGGCGGGCGGCCAGCGCCCCGCGGCCGAGGATGCGCCGTGGAGCCGCCGGCGCCCCCTCCCTCCGCTCCGCCCGCAGGCGCGGCCAGCTCGGGCTTCTGCCGCGGCCCTGGCTCCGGCTCCGCTGCGGAAACCGGAATGGGGGCGGCTCCACGCGTCCCGGGAGAGGCAGCCCGGCCTTCCCTCCTGGATCGGTGTCCCCGACTCAGCCCCTGCCTCCCGCTTCTCTCCGCAGAGCGCCCCGACGACGGCGGGATGGCGGCCGGGAGCCCCGGAGACCGCGGGGAGGCGCGGAGGAGCCCCGAAGGCCGCGTCTCCCGCCTGGGCCGCCGCCTGGGCCGCCGCCGGCGCCCGCGCTCCCCTCCGGAGCCGCTGCGGGTGCGGGCGCGGCTGCGGCTGCGCTCGCCGTCGGGGGCGTTCGCGGCGCTGGGCGCGCTCGTGGTGCTGGTGGGCATGGGCGTCGCGGTGGCCGGCTACTGGCCGCACCGCGCCGGCGCCCCGGGGCCCCGAGCTGCCAATGCTAGTGCGCCCCCCGCGAGCGAGCTGCGGCGCGAGGGCCGCGGGGCCGGCCGGGCGCACGGCCCCCACGAGCGCATGCGGCTCCTCGGGCCGGTGGTCATGGGCGTCGGCCTGTTCGTGTTCATCTGCGCCAACACGCTGCTCTACGAGAACCGCGACCTGGAGACGAAGCGGCTCCGCCAGGACGCGCTGCGGGCCCAGGCGCTCCGGCCCCCCGACGGCCCCGGCTGGGACTGCGCCCTCCTTCCCAGCCCCGGGCCCAGGACCCCCGGAGCCATAGGCTGTGTGGAACCGGAGAGCTGGGACTTGTCCCCGCGCCGGGGCACCTCACCTGTCCCCTCGGTGCGGAGTCTGCGCTCAGAACCTGCGAATCCTCGCCTGGGGTTGCCTGCCCTGCTTCACAGCTACCCGCTGAAGGGCCCGGGGCTGCCCCGACCTTGGGGTCCGCGGACCCAGACCGGCCACGTGATTATCACCGTGCAGCCCTCGGGCTCCGGCATCGAACACTCCAAGTCTCTGGATCTGGGCCTCGGAGAGCTCCTGCTTGGGGCACCCGCGGCTCGAGACGGTGCGCACCGAAGCTGGCCCCGGCTGGACCGCCTCAGTCTGGAGGGGTACACCAAGCTGGGAGGCGGAGGGGGCTTTGGGGCTCCGGTTTGAGGAGCAGCATGGACCAGAGTCAAAAGACCAGGAGTCCCGACGTCTATTGATGCTTGTCACATCCCAGCCTGGGGCATGGATGCTCTGGCCTAGCAGCTGCTAAGGCATCCTGACTTGCATGTGGGCAGAGAAATGCCAACTGCACAGGGTTCGATAAGCTGGAAAGTGTTTTAATGTGAACTTGAGACCAGCATGACTTGGCCTCAGGAATTCCTTTAGCCTCCAAAGTGGCCTTAGCCCTGAACAGGTACCCGAGGAGGCTGGGAGTCCAGGCCAGGGCGACTGGGAGATGCACCGACTGGTGTCTTGGCAAACCCCAGTGGTGGGCAGGAACCCCTAAGATGTGGAGGTAGGTTGTGATGTTACAGGCTGGAACAGGGTCCCTCCAGGGTGGCACTGGTGATGGGGTTTGGGCCTCCAGGAAGAGGGGCAATGGGGCACAGTTGTGACCCGTCACTGCCATCTGGGATGGGGACTGAGCCTTTAACTCCCACCACTCAATCCCTTTCTTCCCTCAGCCATGCAGGGTACATCCTACTAGGGCTACAGACTGCCAGTGCCTCGTGCTGAGGGGCCCTCCCAAGCAGGCCTGAGAAGCCCCTTCTCTCCTTGGCCTGGTCTATGCTGCAAAATCTCCCTTCACTGGGCAAAAGGCATTTGCCAATTCTCAGAAACTTTTTTATATAATATTGAAGCTGCGTTTTGGCCAACGTGGGTAACTTACTTTTTAGCCAGAGGGGAAGATAACTTTAAAAATTGATCAATCCTCACAAATTCAGTCTTTTTTTTTTAAGTTTATTGAAAAATGCAGTACAAGAAGCAAGACCAAACACGTCTAAACACTACAGCCACTTCTCTTACTACAAAAGGCCAAACAGCAGACTTAATTGTTGCCTATTTAACCTAAGGATTTTGCCAATTTCATTCTGCTGCCATAGTTCCTATTTTGTCAAGAAATGTAAACAACTACTTGATATGATTCATAATTTTTTTTTTAAATTTTACAAAGCTCCTTCATGTTTGTCACCAAAATAGTACATTTGAGAGAGGTTTGTAAAACCATCAGCCTGGGCTGAGGTCCTGGCAGGCGGTTCCCAGGAGCATCCCTCGTGTTGGTGAGGCCAAAGCCGCGGCTCCATTCTCGGCGCCGAGGGGACCGCTGTCCCCTCGCCCTTGGCTGCCCTGCTGCGCACACGGGGTGGGGCTGGGGCTGGGAAGGGAGAGGAAGATGCCCTGAACGCCAGGCTCTGTCGCCCTCAGCTTATAAATGCAGGTCCAGGGTGGGGGGTGGCAGAGACCTCGGGTGGCTTGGAGGAAGTCTTTATTTCTCGGTGAAATAAAAATAAAATTGCAGTGAGAGCTGTTGCTGTGATGTGTCTGAGTCACTTTAGGGAAACTGCCAAGTCCCTCTCCTCTCCGCTTCCTACCTGGACAGAGCCTGCTTTTCTTCATGCGCACACACACGCACACACACAACTGCAGGAAGAAAAAATCCAAACGATTGCCAAACCTCAAGGTCTGTCCGCAGAGAGCGAGGAGGGGGAGAGGCTTGGAGGACACCCCTTTGCCAGCTTGTCCCCATTGTGGCTTCCCAGTGCTGGGAGGCGATACAGATCTGCTCGCTCACACCAGGGAGCAGCAAGAAGTGTGCTGAGTGGGTGACAGAGCCGAGGGAAGGGGGGCCCCCTGACACGAGGCCCTGTGTTCTGACAGCTGCCACCCTGGTGTGGGTGGTCGCCCGGAAATACTTCTTAGTGGGGCCTGACCGAGGTGAACCCCATATTCCCCCGTGTGCAGAGCACATTCCCAGAACTAGAAAACCTTTCAAAAACCTCATTCATTTTCTTTGCCCAAATCACCACTGGAAATGTGCCGTTAGTGCTTTTGGCCCAAAGTGCCTGTTTTCCTGTGAGTTTTGCTCTCCTGAGATGGGGCGGGGGAGGGCTCAGCAGAGCCAGTGCTTCTGGTGAGGTAAAAGGGGTTGGAGGGCAGGAAGGTGAAGGCCACGGATCTGTTAAAACATTCACAGTATCAGATAGAGCTGAGCAACTTCTTACATCTTTGATCTAAAGAATCTCCAAAAAGAAAGACCAGGAGGGAGGAAGGAAAAGCAATACCACATTTTTAGCAGAGATCTCTGCCTCCCCCACAGCGCCCTCCACAGAGGGACAGGGACCCTCTCCTGGTCTGGTCAGGGCAGCGCCCTGGCCAACATTCTTGTAAAGTCACATCCTTGGCTCTGAGAAAGGGCTGGTTTTTAAAGTTTCTACTGTCACCCAAAGGGTATAAAACGGGAGGCGGGCAGCCCCATGCAGCTGGCTTTGGCCCTGACGCAGCGGACAGAGACCTTGGAGGCTTTCCAGCAGAAACCTGTGGACCCTGCCAGCATCCAGGTTGGAAATAAGTGGGGAGAGGCTGGGTTGAAGGGGTTACATACCACCCCATAAAAACCAAAAATCTCTTTAAAAAGAGTTCGTAGAGTGAAAAGTTGAACAGTTCTAGTATCACAATATAGAAAAAGGTATCCAAAAGGTCAGTGATGTCTAAAGACTGTTAGTATAAACTCCAAATAGAAAATGAAATTAATTTTCTGGTGGTTTGGAACCTTCAAAGTCTGAAATCTGACTATTGCAGGTTAGCTTCTTTATCATTTCTCTGGTTTTTCTCTTGGATGGGAGACGGGCAGGGAGTCGGGGGTAAGTGATTCCTAGAGGAAAGAAAAGCAAAGTTGATCAGTCCTGCAGGGAGACTCACCCAGTCCCATCACCACGTTCTTGTGGCCACAGTAATAATCAAGGCCTGAGCGGTTTGACAGGACCCAGTCCTGACTGGCGATGGATAGCATCTTCAAGCCATTTGTAAATTGCTTTTAGGCATGCATTTATCTGGATCCCCGTCTCTCAAAAAACAGCTACCCTGCTTCCAACTCTCCAGTCTGCTGCGAGCCCATCAATCATTTCTTCCCTGTCCCCCACCCCTCCGTTGCCAGGCAGCCTGGCCCTGCCTTGCTTGGTTCTGTTCTTTGGCTCGTCTCTGTGAGAGCAGAGAGCAGAGCAGGAGAGGAGAAAGGGGAGGTGCGCAAAGTGGAGAGGCAGGAGGCTGCCTGAAGGTTCAGGAGGTGGGTGGGGTTTGCTTCCACATTTGGGGTATCTCCTCCAACCCATCACTGAGGCACCGCTAAGGGAGGGAGGACACAGACCCAGCTGCTTTAGTTGGAGCTGAATACGTAATAACCTCCTGTGTCGCCCTCACCAACCCCTCCTCTGCCTTCACTGTGCCAAGCTCCGGGATGGATGCCTCTGGGGGGATGGCTCCCAGCGTGGCCAGGGGTCCGGCCAGTGCTCTGAGGCTGGGAGAGGGAGCCCCTCGCCATAGCGAGAACAGCGCCCACCTGAGCTCATTCCTCAGAGATTTCCGTCTCCTGATGAACGACCACCTTGGTCACGGACATGTCTGGGTGCTGCTCCTTGGCCTCCTTGATGGCCTGCACAAGGACCTGCGGAGGACAGAGAGGACAGAGTCAGGCAGGAAGCAGCCTGGCTGGTGAGGTGAGGTCACAGGACTGCCTTTTCCTGGCAAATTCAATCCTGTCTGCAGCACCAGGCAGCATTCAGGCTAAGCCAAGCTGATAATGACCTTCCTTCTCCACTCTCCTGCACAGGGAGGCTCCCAGACTAAAGGCACAAAACCGGGAAGGTCAGAGCATCTTTGAGGAATCCAGAGGGACTTCAGGGGGGAAGGCTGCACCTGCTGGGTGGGTCTGGGAGGATCCACTCAGAAGTGAGTCTAAAGGACAAAGTAAAATCTGTGTTCAGGTAGCTGGGAAGTTCCGAACAGGAGGGAAATGAAGACGCTGCTGCCAAAAGGAAGAGGCGGCTTTGGCTGAAGCAGGGAGAGGAAAGGAAGAGCGGCTTTCATGCCATGCACTAGCCCCACGGGACTTACTATACAGTCACCTCCCAACAGCCCATGCACGGGGGGTCATTATTTCCCTTTTATAAACAAGGGGCTGAGGGTCAGGGCGAAGGTGCCTGCCTCACAGCAAGTAACGCAACAGGCGTTTTCACTCAATTCCATTGGACTCTCCTCTTTCCCACAGCGTTTCAGATGGGGGCTGTTTTAGCACCTGGAGGGGTTTTGCTCATTTCAGTAAACTAGAGGGAGCAGAGGGAAAGAAGAGCAATGAAGCCACTACTCTCTTTGGGCTGCAAGTGTCTGAGCCTTTAGCCTTTCTCAGACAAGTGCCCTTTTCCCCCATTAAAAAGGACTCTAGCTAGATCTGACCAGCTGACCGAGGCTCTTAAGAACCCTCTCTAAGCCTGCCTGGTGTAGCTCAGTGGTTGACCATCGACCCATAAACCAAGAAGTCCCAGGTTTGATTTCTGGTCAGGGCACATACTGGGGTTGCGGGCTCAATCCCCAGTAGGGATTGTGCAGGAGGCAGCTGATGGACATTTCTCTAATGCATTGATGTTCCTCTCTCTCTCCCTCTCCCTTTTTCTCTGTCTAAAAATCATATATATATATATATATATATATATATATATATATATATATATATATATTTTTTTTTTTTTTTTTTTTTTTTTTTTTTAAAAGAACCATCTCTAAGCCTTGGCTGGTGTGGCTCAGTTGGATGAGCATCACTGATGCACCAAAAGGTTGCCAGTTTTATTCCCAGTCAGAGCACATGTCTGGGGTTGTAGGGGGCTTGTGGGAGGCAGGCAATTGGTGTTTCTCTCTCACATTGATGTTTCTCTCTCTCCCTCCCCCACTCCCCCTAAAAATCAATGAATATATTTTTAAAAGAACCATCTCTAAGAAGGAGGATCAGCGGGGGAAGGGAGTCCTCTTCTGGTCTCCTTTTTTTGGTGAATCCTCACCCTCCTTGACCTCTTCTTGCTCAACTCATCTGCTCGTGCTTCAAGGCCCAGCCCAGCCCTCTCTTTGGTTTCTCTGGCCTTCACCTCCCTCTCTACGAAAGCCTGCACCACACACCTTCTCCCGAACGGGCCTCCTTAACGTGCTCCCCGCCATCCATCCAGGGAGCGCCACACCTCACTCCTCTCATGCGGCCCTCAGTACCCGGAGAACCGTGGCACCCTGTGCATCTCTCTGAGCTACCAAGTGAGCCTGCCCCTTTGTCATAACAGCCCTAAGAAACCTCCGATTCTCTTTATTCTACAGACAGAGGAACTACATCTCAGAGACTAACGTCATCTGCTCAAGGGCGTACACCCATGCGCTATGGAGTCAGGATTCACGCAGGTCTATCTCACCCTGAACACCAAGCACTTTCTCTGTCGCCACTCTTGCTGTCCAGCACAGACTGAGCAAGCAGAGTGAGGGCCCCGATCCCATGAGACTGAGGAGGGGGTGCAGCTGTGATGCAGCAGGAGCCGCTGAGCTGGGGCAGACAGGCTGCAAGGCCTCTTGCCCAGCACTCGTAGCTGTAAGTCTCAAGCCTGCTTCCCAGGGAACAGCCAGCACTCCGCTCAGGTTTTCTCCGTTTTTTAAGGCACTCAGCGTATTAGCAGAGAGGCCACGGCATCATTGCTCCAACGCTCCTGTCAGTGATTCCAGAAGCATCTGCATGCAGTGTCTTCCACCCCCTCTTCTCTGCAGCATTAGTTCTAACCTCACTGGCAGAGAATTGGGAACATTATTCCTGACCTTATTATTTGCTAATTGCTTGTAGCACACAATTAGCACCTAATTAACATAAAAACATAGAATTTAGCTCTCAGAAAGGCCCAGAAATTATCTAGATCAACGTACTTTTTTTAGGAGAAGGAAAAAAAAATCAGAGGTAAAGTGATTCACTCAAGGTCACACAGTAAGTCAGGGATAGATCTAGGGTAGAAATTGCATCCCATCTATGTCCCCCGAGTTGTCTCCTCGGCTATTGACAGCCCTGAGAGTAGAGGTCATACCTTCCTTTTGCTTTGCTATCACCTGCTGTCCCTAGCACACCATGTGACACATGCTATATCTCACTTCAGTCTTACAACCTTGGCAGAAGGTACTAAAATGCCCATCTTATAATGAGGAGGCAGAAGCCTAAGGAGTGGAGAGCTAAGATTTGGTAAACTCAGCTGTTTGGAGTCTAAAGTCCATTTCTTCCTATTACACTTCCTTGCTTCCTCAGTCTACGGCCCCCGCCCACAGGCCTCTGTGATCCAGTTCCTTTGTCTTTCTTCTTGTGGAAGAGCGACAGTAGCTGAGGAAGGTGAAGATGGCAGGTGAAGCTGGCAGAGGTGTCTTTTGCATCCATCAGGCTTCCTGCCCAGGACCCCACCCATGCCCAGAGTCTCCTCCGCGTTCCCACCTGATCATGGTCAATATCGCCATCTCCTGTGATCACAATTCTCTTTTCAATCCGGGTCTCAGATATCCCACCTTTGACAGTCTGAAACCAAAGGGAGGAGATCATATGAGAAAGAAAGAAAAGAAAACAGCAAGAGATTATTGTGAAAGCTCCACTCTAAATTTTAATCTGCTGCTAGGTGCTGGATAGAATAGCTCCTCACTTACTTGTCCAAATTTTGGCTGAACCTGCTAAATGAATACACTTCTATCCCCTTGGATAGCTAAAATCTTCATTAAGTTAAACAGAAAGTCAGAATTCTCTAGTTGTTCATTTCCCCCTTTTTATTTCTCATAAATACCACAGAAATTCAGTGAGTAAGCAAAATAAATGTATTTTGTTTCTTCATTACTGTATATTTTATTTGACTATTTTCAGGAGGAAAAAAAAAATCTTAAGACTGACCAAAAGTCTCACACAACTTGAACTTGGGTTCTTTCCTTTAAAGCATTTTCATATTATTGATGTCAAAAGGGCCTCAAATGACCCCCTCAGCGTGGCTTGGCTTCCCGACTTGACACGTGAAGAAAACCAAGGACGAGGTATGCTAAGTAATGGTCAGAAACCTGGATTTCCTACTTGTAAGAAAATGCACTTTCTTCCAGTGCTACAGCAAACATGAGCTGCCCCCTACTTCCTGAGGGCAGTTCCAATGTTAGATGTGTTGTCCCTCTTGCCCCCATAAGCACTACTGCACTAGGTAATAATTCCAATATTTCAGCATCCAAACTCTAGTTCTCATGGCCCTGATCCTGGACATGACATAAAAATTCTTTGTTGGACCCTGAGTTCTGATTTTTTGGCTTGGAAAATACGTTTGCATTATAATACCAACAAACTTGCCCTTAAACTGACTTATTAAACTTACTTCCATCACCAGATAAGAGACTCACTAATGGGAGAGACGTGCAAAGAGAACAACCACATGTGACGCTCTGAGACTGCTAAGGAGGCGGGGGTGCTCTCAGGGTCTTTCTAGGTTTATTCCTGGGGGAAGCAGCAGATCCTTCCCACCTGGGACATTTGGCAGAGTTTGGCTCAGAGGGGATGGAGCAGAAAACCCTGGTTTATGGACCAGGTCATTTCTGCAGAGAGGCAGCAAGCTTGCTACACCACGGGATTCCAGGAGGAAGTACTGGCTGGTCTGTTACCTTGGTAATCTGAGTTGTGGTGGTGCTGCTGGTGGTCTCAGAGGTGATGGTCTGAGCTGTCAGCAAGACTCCTGGGTCCAAGTCCCCATTGCTCTCATCAGTCTACAGAGGAGAAGGAAGCACAACCCATCATTATCCCTCAAAGGAAGCCTTGTGGGCCAATTTTGTAGGATGCAGTTATGCTCTTCAGCTGTCCATGCTAAATCAAACCCCCCGATTCCTTTATAGTGATCTCTTAATAAATCAAATGTTTAAAAATACCCTGGCAACATGGCTCCCTCTAAAAAAGTTGGAGGGGCCCAGTTTCCCTTAGCATTAGGTCTCAGAGGAGGCAGAGTATATCCGTAGGTTCAACAAGAGTGACAATAACTACATACCGTGACGATCTTTTCTGATGCTCACACAGCCCTATGAAACAATTCAAAGGGCTGAAGTGTATACTCCCAGGTAAGAAAACTCAGGCTCAGAGAGGGAGTGATTTGCCCTCAAACTCAAAACTAGTGAGTGGCAGTAGTCCTCTCTACAAATCTGAGGCTCCTTTAGCACCCAAAACAGGACAGGTGTAAGCTCTTGGTTGCTAAGGCCTGGGTAGGTTCTGAATCATAGGGGGAGCTTTCCAGAAGCCTGGGAAAGGCTAAGGATTCTCAAGCTATCTTCTTTGAAGATGGAGATGGGAACAAATGAGGTAGGAAATGTCCATTTAAGGCAAAGTGTAAGGAGATGTAGATAATATCTCAAAGACATTTATGACAACTCTATTATTGAAATGGATTCTCCTTATTACAGGAGGGATTTAAAAGTATTCAGGCCCTGGCCGGGTAACTCAGTTGGTTAGAGAGTCATTCCAATATGCCGAATTTTCAGTCTTCTGGTCAGGGCACATAAAAGAAGTGACCAATGAATGCATAAAAAGGTGAAACAACACATCAATGTTGTTCTTTCTCTCTCTCCCTCCTCCATCTTTCTCTAAATTAAAAAAAAAAAAAAGGAGAAACCAAGATGGCGGCATAGGTAAACACCTAAATTGCTGCCTCGCACAACAATTTCAAAACTACAACTAAAAGACAAAACGAACAACATCCAGAACCATAGGAAAGCTGGCTGAGTTGAAATTCTACAACTGGAAGGAAAGAGAAAAGCACATTAAGACTTAGAGGAGCTGCAAAAGGCTGAGGTACAGAGCTGCGCGGATGCGTGGAGAGGACTGATGGCTGAGTGCATGGCTGGCTTTCTCAAGTGGGAGGGAGATGGAAGCTCCTGACTGCACTGAACTCCAGTTCCAGGTGAGAATCTGGGAATCCAGACACATATGGGGAGAAACTGGACTGTCTGGCAGCAGGTGAAACTCAAGGGCGGCTTCCCCTCAGAGGTGCTTGCAGCAATTACTGAAGGACAGTGAGACCCAGGGGCCTCATATGGTAGGGCTGACGGGAAGCCAAGGCTGTCTGCTCCACCCTGAGACTCGACCCCATCCAAGCTGAGCAAGCACAGAGGCTTTTGCAATTTTGCAAGTCTTGTCTCATAAGAGTGTCTCCAGCCCAGAAGTTCTCCCAGCATAGACACAGCTGATCCTCACAGCCAATTGGTCTGGAGGTCAATTCCTCCCTGTGATACCAACAGCAGTCAAGACTTAACTACAACAAGACTGTGCACACAGTCCACAAAGGGGTGCACCAAGAGTGTACACTTCAGGTAACTACAGAAGCTGAGCCACTGGGCCTATAGGACACCTAGCACACAAAGCTACTCTACCAACTCAGGGAAGCAGCGAAAATGTGGAGACAAAGAAACAGATCACAAATGAAAGAAAAGGAGGAAAGCAAATGACTGGATAAAGAGTTCAAAATCACGGCTATAAGGTTTTTCAAGAATTTCATAGAAAAGGCCGATAAATTTAGCAAGACCCTTGAGGATATGAAAAAGGACCAACTAGAAATTAAGCATACACTGACTGAAATAAAAAATATTATACAGAGACCTAACAGCAGACTAGAGAACTGCAAGAATCAAGTCAAAGATTTGAAATACAAAGAAGCAAAAAACACTTAACCCAAAAGCAAAAAGAAAAGAGAATCCAAAAATATGAAGATAGTGTAAGGAGCCTCTGGGACAACCTCAAGAGTACCAGCATCTGAATTATGGGGGTGCCAGAAGAAGAGAGAGAGCAAGATACTGAAAACCTATTTGAAGAAATAATGACAGAAAACTTCGCCCACCTGGTGAAAGAAATAGACTTACAAGCCCAGGAAGCACACAGAACCCCAAACAAAAGGAATCCAAAGAGGACCACACCAAGACACATCATAATTAAAATGCCAAGAGCAAAAGACAAAGAGAGAATATTAAAAGCAGCAAGTGAAAAACAATTAGTTACCTACAAGTGAGCCGCCATATGATTGTCAGCTGATTTCTTAACAGAAACTATGCAGGCCAGACGGGAGTGGCAAGAAATAGTCCAAGTGATGAATAGTAAGAACCTACAACCAAGATTACTCTACACAGCAAATCTATCATTCAGAATTGAAGGTCAGATAAAGAGCTTCACAGATAAGAAAAAGTTAAAGGAGTTCATCACCACCAAACCAGAATTATATGAAATGCTGAAAGTTATTCTTTAAAAAGAGGAAAAAGAAGAAAAAGGTAAAGATAAAAATTATGAACAGCAAATACATATCTATCAACAAGTGAATCTAAAAGTCAAATGAATTAAAAATTTGAGGAACAGAATAAACTGGTGAATATAATAGGACCAGGGGCATAGAATGGGAGGGGACTGATAATTCTCAGGGGGAAAGGGATGTCTTTATGGGAGGTACAGGAAGAGACTGGACAAAAATCATACACCTATGGATGAGGACGGGAAGGGGGGGGGTAAGGGCAAAGGGTGGGGTGCGGGCCAGGTGGAGGGGAGCTATAGGGGGGAAAAAGGAGAAACAATTGTAATAATCTGAACAATAAAGGTTTATTAAATTTTTTTTTAAAAAGTATGTCGGTTCATTCTTAGATCAGTGATCTCTTCTAAAAAGATCAGCCCCAGGAAAGCCTAGTGTTAACTGGAGTAAATAATTAGAAACCATGTGAACAAAGGTTATTTATTGCGCTTACTCCAGCCTTTGATCTGAGACATTAAACCATGTCCTACCTGAGCAGCCTCGTAGGTGATGGTCTTGGTCTCAGTGTGGACAATAGGGACGTCTTTGGTTGGGATCTCACTTTTCACAGCATTGGCTGTGTCTGAGAGGGTGACGGTCTGAGTCTTCACCAGGGGAGGCTGTGAAGCAGTAAAGACACAGTTACCGGAACCTTCTGAAGGCTGTGGAGAATTAATTTTCTGACATTGATCTGATCAAAGTGATAGCTCTAATCAAGCAAAAGGCTAGCTCAATCTCTGCCCAAGACTTGGACACTACTCCAAAGTAGCTCTGACAATGTGTCAAATCATGAGGGATATTAAAGAACAGCATTACTGCAATCACTTTCATATGCTTAATGGAAAGCTATAAAATCAGGCAATTATGGCTGGTGATATAAAACACTTCAGACTGACCTTCAGAATTTGAAAATAAAACTATTTGCCAAATAGCAGTCGCTTTTGTTGTCCTTGTGACCATACCATTAAAAAAAAAAAAATCAGCCACATTTCCTCCACTATTCAAGTGGTACATGAAATAGCAGTGGCATTGCAATGCATTACCCTGGAATTCATTAACTTCTTTCAAATCAATGTCAGACATTCACTTTGAAGTGATTGAGAAGAAACAATATTTGGAAAACTGGAAAGAAAATAATCACTTAAACCACCACCTGGTGATTAATCTCAGAATTTCAGAAGAATGAACATTAATGGAATATCAAAGGCTTCTTGTCCATCAGTTCACCTGCCCCCAAGACTATAAGTCACCCTACAGCTACCATTTGATTGTGATACAGCTATGCGGCCATGCACCTTAGCATAGGAGATTAGTGCCTATGATCATGGAAGCCCCTGTGAGTGGGGTCAGTGGGAGTGGTGGGCTGGACAGGGTGGCTGTAATACATAAATGAATTTTGGGAGCCTGAAATCTCATAATAAAATCAGTTACCCCTTCTAATTAGGAGTATTTGAATTTTTGAGCATGGTCTCAGAACATGTTGGCTCCTCATCATATAAGTCTCATAAATTCATCTCTTTACATCACCCACACTTGAGCAAGGAAAAGAGAAACACACACCAGCTTCATAAAAGCAAACAGCTGGAGTTTACCCTCAAGAGCCTTGTTAAAGCATTTCATGGAGTTAATTCCTCTGACTAAATTTCTTTATAGTCATCAAGGGCTTCAATTTTATTTTGTGATTTTGAGAAAAGCAGACTACTACCTTCATCACCATCACCATCACCATCACCACCACCTCCACCACCTCTACAGAACAGATTCTAGCCCTCTCCCAAAGTTAATCACTAGACCTGCATCATTAAGTCAGTTACTACCTGGAAACTTCGAATGAGGGTGGGGAACTGGTTACCCACACAAGAGTCAGGAAATGATCCATTTTGCTTTCCAAGTGGCTCTCCTGATGTAACATGTTCTTCACTACTCTCTGCCTTTTTTTCACCAAGTTGCAGCTGAGAGGAAGCTGGTGATACTGAGAATGTTACGGCACTGGCCTGTTCCTCCACTGTTATACATTCCCCACTCGGGTCCTTAATCTCAAGATGGCCAGCAGCCCCCTGCTCCTTCTCTTCTGTTTCCTTGCTGCTTATGGAGAGGGAGCCAAAGTCAAAGCTTTGTGGAGACTCCGCGGGGGTGATCATTTGGCTCTTACTAGGAATTACTGAGAGCTTGGGGCCCTGCCATTCAGAGTCAGGGTTGGTAGATGGCCCCTTTGTCACGGCAGCCGCCTCCTCTGTGCGAATGCCATTTATATTCTACAAATGAATGAACACATACAAAAGCAAGAAGATTAGGAATAAGTGGAGACTAAACGCTGAGGATCAACAATGATTTTTAAGAGGCCTTAAAAATATTAATATCAATACTAATATAAACTAATAATCTTAGCTTGTGAGGGTCAAAGGAAGAATTAAGCAGTTTAAGCAGTTCCAGCCATATTTTGGTTATGTTTCTAGAACTCTGTTAATCTGAGAAGTAATTTCAATGTCCCTTGCCCTGTACCAAGCACTTTGTATTATTTTGGTCTTCCCTGTATAACATACTCTCGTACTTAAAGAAGTTTCTTTGCTATTCCTAAACACCCAACTCATTACTAGTCACAGGGAATAATGCAACTTAAGGGTCAATCAAAACATATTATTGGGGCCAGGACCGGTTTGGCTCAATGGATAGAGCGTCGGCTTGGGGACTGAAGGGTCCCGGGTTCGATTCCAGTCAAGGGCATATACCTTGGTTGCGGGCATATCCCCAGTAGGGGGTGTGCAAGAGGCAGCTGATCGATGACTCTCTCTCATTGATGTTTCTAACTCTGTATCTCTCTCCCTTTCTCTCTGTAAAAAATCAATAAAATATATTTAAAAAACAAACAAACATATTATTGGGGAGCCTGATCAAGTTGAAAAATGGTTCATATCTCCAAACCATATGTATCATCATACTAGCATCTAAGGCAGAAGCTGAAATCTAGAAAGTTGAGTTCATCTGGCACAGGCTTAATCCAATTATTGCCAGGAATTCAATGTAATATCAAAAGTAGTGAAACATTTCTTTGTAAACAAAATAAACGTGACCCAGCAGCTGAGGTCATTTCTTCACAGATGAATGACTAACATCTGCAACCCCTAAGGGAAATGAATCCTGGAAACACAGAGTTCCCTCAGAGGCTAAACACCGCACATCACAGGAAAACAGATCTAAAATAAGTACTTTCAAGAGAATGTGGATGAGAAGAAAATGCCACAATAGACAGACCTATTCCTAAAGTTTAAAGAAAGGCGCTGAAGGTGGAAGAGAAGGAGTTCACACCAGGAAGAAAAGAACGAGTCATCTGAAAAATGAACAACCTAGCAGAAGCCAAATGTTATGGGAAGTAACATATTCAAGAACTCAACAGAAAGCTGTAAATATGCCATTTGGGCCTCAAAATCTAGTAAGGGCAATTTACCATATTACACACCACACAGGAACTGAATCACAGACAGGCTCTCTTAAGGAGGTGTTTTTGAACTACATGATATATGCTTAGACCAGCTTACACATTTTAGTACCCACCTCACTGCTGCTCCTTTACTTGTAAACCAGCCTACACTGTGATATTGTGATGAACATAAACCAGCACTCTGTTAAGCAAGAAAAGAGACAGTGTACCAAGAACTTCCAGGCTACTTTTCTTCTAAGCCATCTTTTTTTTTTTTTTTTTTTTTTTTAATGGATTTCAGATAGTGAGAGGGAGAAAAAGATAGAAACATCAATGATGAGAGAGAATCATTGATCAACTGCCTCCCACATGCCCCCTACTGGGGATTGAGCCAGCAACCTGGGCTTGTACCCTTGACCAGAATCGAACCCGGACCCTTCAGTCTGCAGGCCGAAGCTCTATCCACTGAGCCAAACCAGCCAGGGCTCTTCTAAGCCATCTTGGAACAGGAACATCACAATTTCAATTAGGCAGGTCCTTCACTGACATTATAAACTGACTAAGGACATTAAAAAATGGAATTGAGCCCTAGCTGGTTTGGCTCAGTGGATAGAGTGCCGGCCTGTGGACTGAAGGGTCCCGGGTTCATTTCCCGGTCATGGGCACATGCCTGGTTTGCAGGCTGGATTCCTAGTAGCGGGTGTGCAGGAGGCAGCTGGTCCATGATGCTCTCTCATTATGGATGTTTCTCCCTCTCTCTCTCTCTCCCTTCCTCTCTCTCAAATCAATAAAAAATATTTTTTTAAAATGAAATTGAGAAATGACCATGGAAATTATCTCTGTCAGCAGATATAACAGATACATAAAATATCTTGCTAAGGGTATATGATTTTAACATACTCAAAATGAGGATAATTATTAATTTGACTTAGAGGTTTCTGAGGATCAAATACAATAATCTAAATGAAAGCACTTTGTAAAATCTAAAGTATCATATAGATTCACTTAATTCAATCAACATTATCTGAGCACTTATAATATGCTAGGGCCTGGGGGCACCAGAATGAATTTGTAATATTATAAACAAACAAGAGGACTAGTGCATTTGTGCATGAGAAGAAAATGCCACAATAGACAGACCTATTTCTAAAGTTTTTTTTTGGCACCAATGGGGTCCTTCGGCCTGGCCTGTGCTCTTGCAATCTGGGACCCCTTGGGGGATGCCAAAGAGCCGGTTTTGGCCTAATTCCTTCAGGCCAGGCTGAGGGACCCCACCAATGCACAAATCCATGCACTGGGCCTCTAAAATGCATATAAGATCTTTGGTTGGAGAAACCAAGATGGCGGGATAGGGTAGACACCTGAATGCAGCCTACCACAACAAATTTGAATTTAGAACTAGAAAACAGGGGAAACATCGCCCTGAAGCACTGGATGGCTGGCTGAGAGGAGGCTGTACCATCTGGGAAAAAGAGAGAAGGCACGCTGAACCTCAGGAACTGTGAAGGTGCGGTGAACAGCGCGCGCGAAAAGGCGGCCGTCCCATTTCACTGCTGGCTTGTTTGGGGAGCGCAGAGAGGGCGGGCCGAGTTCACTACTGGCTTAATCCCTGTGCTTGGAGAGGGCAGACAGCTAACTCGCGGCTGGCTTTCTTGTTCGGGAGGAAAACAGAACCACCCTATTGCTCTGATAGACAGCCCCAGTCAGGGAGAGGCCAGACTGTCAGGCAGTGGGCAGAGATCTCTTGGAGGTGTATGAAGCCAGTGGCCATTACTGCGGGACTCAGAAACCAGACCCTCGTAGGAAGAAGCTGACCAAAGTTTGTCTGCACCACCCCCAGACTCCGCCCCATCTAAGCGGAGCACAGAAGCCCTTCCAGTGGCCAGCTTTCTTGTTCTCCGCGAATAGGACTCCTAGGGAGGGACAGACAGGAATCCAAAGCTTGTCTGTGCTTATACCAAAGAGGTGCGCGCGCCTGCAACCAGTTGTGCGGGACTCACCAAGGCTTGTCTGTGCCACCCCGAGACTCCACCCCATCCAAGCAGAATACAGAAACCCTCCTAGCTGAGACACTTCTGATCCTCATAGCCAATTGGCTTGGAGATCAATGCTTCCCAATGATACCAACAACAAGCAAGGCTTAATAACAAGACTGCACACACAGCCCACAAAGGGCTACACCAAGACTGTCCATTCAGGTAA